ACTTCCTCTTCCATTAAATAGAAAGTTAGGCATGAACCGGGACAGATGATCTAAGCCTTCCACACTCTATCACAAAGAAAAAGGAAAGGATTATATATTAGTAAAAACACAATAATTTGCATGTGAGAAATAATTCTATGTAAAACATACAGACTATTGTGATCTAGTACTAGTACTTCCAAGGGTCTCTTTGAAGTGGTAATTGCTCTTTAATTTAATATGAACTAAACTATCCATTCTAAAAAGTCTGGGATGTCTTTTACAATGGAGTAGATTGAAAGGGACAGTGAAGGAGAGTCAGACAATCGCTGCTTTGTGCTAAAGGGAAAAGGGAATATTATTAATTGTAACCGTAATTACCCTTTATACCATGTAGACACATGCAAGTTTTCAAAGCCCCAGGCTGGGTAGGGTTATGCACTGTCAGAGAAAATATAGATTTATGAGGCTATAAATGAATCTAACAAATAATTCTGCATTTAGCCTAGAAAAGGCCAAAATAAACCAATGTTGCTTGTCTACTGTTTCAATTCATGATTATGCTTCACTCAATGGCAGATGTGCTACATATATAACTGGGGCAAAAATAGAAAATTGTGTTACATTAAGACATTTTCATGTGTACGCACAAATGAAAGTGGGACATGATTGTTAATTAATTATCTACCAGAGAACTACCGGATTAAACCAGATTACCAAGCAAAATAAATAATTACTGTTCTGTAGAGAATACTAAAACTATTTTACAATATATATGTAAGGATTAATCATTTGAAGAACTTTTACCATTGGGAAGTGGTCAGACAGTGGTCACCATGGAAGAATGTGAGTGGAAATCTCCCCAATGATGCTTCAGACAGCAAATAAAAACCTGTTGTAGGTTCTGACCCTTCCCTTCTCTATCCGAGGCTAAAAAACATAAAAATGTGTCAGAAATGTAACTTTAATTTGGAGTTTGAAAAGCTGACATATGAACCATTCCTCTGTACTCCCCGTCTGTAATGGAATCTCTGATTTCTGATCAAAGAATTAAAAAAAATCTAGCTATTTAAGTACTTTTTGGAGTTTACTAAAGGAGTAGAGTGTTCACTTTACAAAGTCATATGCAAGGGAAATGAAAGTGAATCTGTAGTTTCGTATTCTTAACCAGCAGTAAATAAGCCCTAATGGCTTTCACATCAAATCAGAAGGTACTTCCAGGTCAAGGGAGGGTCCATTGACTTGTGATTGTACCTTCCGATTTCCCTCCAATCTGCTGCATTCCATTGCATTTTTTTTTCTTGCAAGCTTTTATGTGAAGTAACATGTCCTGAGTGGATATACGTTACGGAAATAGCTTGTGATGCATTGCGTTTTGACATATTGCAATGAAAAAGAGTAGAGCATGCGCTTTGTTTTTTCAGGGCAACGCAATGCAATGCAGCGGTGTAAACTGCCCCATTCACACCCATTCATTTTTTGAACTCCCAATTCCCAATTTTTGAACTCCTCAACTCCCAATTTCCTCTTGTGGAATGATACCAAATGCAGACTTGGTGTCAGCCCTTTCCAACTGTTGCTAAACTACTGAATCCCATCATCTCATTTGCATAATTACTAATTGTTCTATAGTGAAAGACGAGAACTGGGAAGAGTGTAGAGCGTATCAAAGACAAAAACAGAATTTTATTTTATTTTATTGCAGCTTGTGGTATCTGCATTATTTTGTTTCAGGCGTTTTTCATCTTGTAATCCTGCATATAACACACTTCTTGTTCCTGGGTAGCTACACTCACTTGTTTACTGTATCTATAAAGGGAGCCATGGTTACTAACCAGGCTAGACTCCTGATATGGCTGCCTTTGTTCATTTGCATTGTGTTGGAGGTTAGTAGTTTACAAAAGGAAAATGAATATGTTTTTGCTTGCAGCAGAGCTAATAGCAGCTACATTTCAGCAGTTGCAGAAAATGTTCTTAGCCTGAAAAATGAAAACTAATGGAGCCATCACATCTGAGGACTGGAAAACTGCAATATATTACATTTTTGTTCTTGGGTTTAGTTATGTAACCAAAACCTCAATGACCTCTGTAGCTGCAGGCACTATGGGGTAATTCTTCCTCAAATTTCATAACAAAGACACTCTAGTTGGGTTCTTGTTTGTTCTTCAGCAGCTCAATTGTTAAAAAAGTGACTTTGTAGGCTTTCAATCTTCTAATGTAAATGCTCACCTGTTATGTATTTACACGAAAAAGCTGGAAGGTTGACAATTCACTGCTAAAGCTGCGGAGCAACTGACTAGAACCCAACTACAATGTCACTGTTATAAACTTTAAAAGGTGAATTGCTCTGATATGCCTGAAGCTAAAGAGGTCAGTGAGGGATTTTAAAGTTTAATGCTTATTCCACCAACGACCCACAACACTAATATCTGCTCTCTTCAAGGAACTCTGCTGAATGAAAAACCTTCAGCCTGCAATGTTTCCAGGAGTGACAGATTCCAAAATTGTGACTATGCAAAGGCTACTTCCTGCAGTGTCCAATGGGCTTCCTGGGCAGTGTTGTCTGAGCCCCATCCTCTGTGGACTAGGATCGGCTTTCACTCATTGGGCTCATAATTGTGCCGTTTCTGTGTGTTTGCCACATTGTGAAACACATGGCAGTTGGTACCAACATGTTTGAGGATGGCGAGATGTTTTCTTACACTTCATCTTCTTGTGGAGAAGGATTCCTATTTATATGCCACCATAGTGTTATGGTACTTAAAAGAACGGAAACTGATGAGCCCAACTCCAAAACCAGTACCACCCCATCTGTCCTATTACTAGAGTGGTCACAATGAAAGGGTTGGGAGCTGAACACTGCAGCTGTTGGCGATTAGGGATGTGGGAAATTGAGAATTTCAGTGAAATTTTACCAATATCATGCCCCTTATACCTATTGGTGATCACAGTAGTGAGTCAATGAATAAATCAGTGTTGCCTAAACAATGCTTTTTAATTAATATCTGTCTTCTTCTATCCCCGAGGTTTCCCATAGACACTATATAGTCATGTAAAAAAACAGGCGATTTTAGGTCAAACATTGGTTTTTCTAACACAAATCATTTATATGAAAGATCTTTCATAGATGAATGCCACCAGAGAAATCAATCTGTAAAGCTCAAAGTTTTGGTCTGTTTCTATCAGACAAAATATTTCTTTACATGTCACTGCTGAGGCTTGTGGTGGCGTAAGAGTTAGAGGAAGGAACCATGTCACCTGGAGAGAGACACAGGCATCTAACACTGATGGAAATGTTGAATGCTGTTGAGTCTTATGGAGGCTGCAGCATTGGTACAGAGGGAAGGTTGAAGACACGGACAACAGGAGAAGTGAGTATAATACCTACCTGGTGCCATTATGTATTATTTAAAGACTTGACAGGATCACTTTAAGATGATTGAACTATTACAAACACTACACAAGCCCATTCCTGTACCTAGAAGTATAATTTCAATATGTATCACTACTGTATGTTTATTTTTTTAACAAACTGGGCAGTGCAGTGGCTTAGTGGTTAGCACCGCTGCCTTAAATCACTGAGGGTACTTGGTAAGGATGCGCTGATAGTATCGGTGCCGATACCGAGTATTTGGGCGAGTACCCGTACTCACCCAAATGCCTTGATAATTAGCCCCGATACTGGAACTTCCAGTCAGAGGGAGAGAGCATTGAGCTGGGTGGTGGTTAATGACTTGCCGCTCGGCTTCCTGATTGGCCTGGAAGTTGGTTCCATGCTATTTGGCCGGTTCTATGCTGATTGGATGGGAAGCCGCCTCCATGCTAGCGGAAGTACCGGTATCGATACTCTGATACCCAAAAAAACGTATCGGTGCATCTCTAGTACTTGGAAAGATTCCCACCCAAGATACGATCTGCATGGAGTTTCCGTGTTCTACCTTTGTTTGTGAGTTTCCTTCCCCACTCCAAAGACATGCTTGCTCAATTGGCTCCTGTTTACATTGCCCATAGTATGTATACATGTGAGATAGGGACCTTAGACTGATCTGAACTTGCAGTATGTAAAGTGCTGCATAATTTGTCAGTGCAATATAAATGTCTGTAATAAATATTTGTTTCAAGAGATTAGATTTATCAAACTATCTTTTGTATAAAAGATCCTAAACGAGTCTGGTAAACACTAAATGTCTATGTCTATCCCGGGGGGGACAAATTAATATGGAATTCAGGAGCCCATCTGTCCAATCCAGGAGCCAGGAGGATTTTTTACAAGCCAGCTCAACTGACAACAACCTCAAAAGTTGGGAGCCAGCTATAACTTTTAAGCAGTATTGGCTACCAGGCTCCTGGGGATTGTTCACCCTGGTCTTGCCTAACTGACAAGGGACAGAGGAAAATGGTCTGCTACATTGTTCACAAGCACTTTGTAGCCACCAGATAGAAAAACGAGTTAAACAGTGTTATTCACAAAAGGGTGAAGAGTTTGGAGAAGGCAAAGTAAATCTAGGACAACATAGCTGAAATGAAAAGTGAGCTGAATTGGTGGACTTTTCCAAATCAGCGATGTTGTCCTAGATTGTTCACTTCTCCTGCCTTCTCCAAACTCTTCACCCTTTTGTGAATAACCCTGAAAGTCTTCTGAGGTTCTCCAATCATGAAAACACAAATAATCTAGGTTTAAAGCTCTTAAATAAAAAAATATTGTGAACATATTCTTGTTAGAACCCTGAAGGCTCTTCTTATGTTTCTACGTATAATAAGCCTGATGATAATTTATGATCTCTTCTAACCAATCCACCCATACATTGTGCTTAATACTGTAGGAACAGTTGTGTGATTATTCCTCTAAATGCTGCTCATTGTACTGTTCGGAAGAAATTTATGCTTGGTAATAAAGCATGGGCACCTGAGGGCATGGTTTGCTGATGTCTTATATGTGCACTGCACTCAATGCTTCCCTTGTGCTCCTCTGCCCAATGTCTCACTCTTTCACTCGCTGAATCATTGACTACTCACCACAGGTCATCAAAGCTTGGATTTTCTAGGCACTACATGAGAAGAGCCCAAGGAAAAACAGGACACTCATGACCTTGGACAATAAGACAATGGACTTTATAGAGACAAAGCTTTGTTTGTATGCTGGATGTTATGGCAAGGAGATAAGAAAGCCATGTGGTGCATGTGATAGCAGTAAATATGTAACACAGCAGAACATGTGTCTTACACAGTTCTTGTTATTTGGTAGGCAAATCGTCTAGGAGACAAAATCAGTACATAAGTAGACTTTACTTTGAACTGCAGATGAGATGTACAGACTAAGCAGAGAGGTCAGCCAAGAAGATTAGTTTATAGGGGGGTAGGCATCATGTTAAGTGCCCTTTGTCGGAGATTGGATGTGGTTTAACAAAAGTAGGTGTAGCAAAATAGACTTGGTATGAAATGTGTGAATTTAAAAAGAAACAAATTGGACATGGGATTGCCCTTCAAGGAGCCAGACATGCTCTCCCACCCTCTTTTATCATACTGCTTTAAAAGAGGCAGGGTTCCATGAGAACTCAGAAATGACTACTTTGAGGGTCTTGCAGTTGGTATTTTTATTTTATTTTTATTTTATTTTTGTCTCTATGCTTGCCGGGGGTATATTCTCTCTCTAAATTTGAAAGTACGGAAATACTGAAAGTAAGGAAAAATTAAAACTTTTGAGTTGTCACTAGAACAGGAATAGAGAGGAAATAGTTCAGTGGTGACATCTTAAGATGGGATTTTCTTCAATTTGCAGAGATTTCCAGGACACAGATCACAAAAAACTGACAAGGGTTTTACCCATTTCCTACACCATCCACAATTTTTTTTAAAGTTTGGCTTTAGATACACTATATTTTAGAAACTATAGAAACTACTACGCCTAGATTACCATTAAGGACCACTAATAAAAAAGGGATTTTTATTAAAGTTGCTTGACCTCAAAGCTTATGTAAAAGGCATTTTTATGATTGTATTTTTTTAATGTATATATATATATATATATATTATTTTTTTTATATTTATAAAAGATTGATATATATAGGTATATATATATCAATATATTACTATATATATATCTATATTTTTTGATAGGTGTCAAACCAGTGGAATTATCTCAAACATAACTTTACATCTTTTTCATTCTGTGTTAACAGGCTTGCTTGCTGGATAGCTGATCCCGTTTCTGGTGTAATTTCAGGATTGCTCTAAAACACTAGCTCCAGACCTACACGTCCATGATGCCTCCTACCACCTTGGCCATAGTGTGGTTGGCATGCCTAATATTTGGTGTTTACAGCCAGTATTCCCCAACACCACAGTATCTGGAAGAAATCTCAGAGCTGTCACAGACATTAAATCAGGAAAAAGCTGGGCACCTTGTACAGCTGGGCACAAACCAAAGCCCTAATGCAAGTCAACAGTCTGAAGATATTGGAAATATGCCACCTCAAAGACCACCACCTTGTCTATCCCGCTCTAAAATCAAGCATGCTTTTAAGTATGTCAGCACCATATTGTCCTGTGTCATTTTCCTTGTGGGGATTGTGGGAAATTCAACACTTCTAAGAATTATTTACAAGAATAAATGCATGAGGAATGGTCCTAATGTACTCATTGCCAGCCTGGCACTGGGAGATCTTTTCTACATACTAATCGCTATTCCCATCAATATTTATAAGGTTTGTATAAATTGAAATTTATTGCTTCAAAACTTTGTACCCTATACATGCCATATTTGAGTATATTTATACCTAAGATGAAGTATATACAGTATAGCAATAAAGCAAAACTGGAACAACCATGGATTTCC